GGTTAGTGTGACGTTGAGAGATTAATTCCTGATGCGAAGTCATATCGAGGAGGATATTAATCAGAAAATATACAATTTTGTTCAATTCCTCCCGAAATTTATATCTTTTCGGTGGATTTCCCCAACTGTCAATACAGACTGACGACCATGAGAGTATCCAGATACTTTGTCGTTGACTCGTGAATGCAATGTAGTTTTGGGGATACCATAATTAATTGATGCATTATTTAGAGAGCTGTTCCCCGATTTCACAGCCTCAATCGCTTCTTCTAGATTTTTTTTTGTGTATTTAAACCGTTGAGAGGGTTTCCTAACCTCTTCTGCCTTGGCTGATTGTTCTCCCTCCTCTTCGTGTATTTTTCGTGTGTTTTTACCTTTTGAAGCCATCTACGCGAAAAAATGAAGAAAATAAACTAATTTAGGGATACGATTCCGATTAACTTCATTAAATTATTAGTTCATTAACCGCCAATACACTTTCCACAGTATCACCGTATTTCCACTTGACATAGGTATCCACCCGTATGAGTGTTCCGTTCGTTTGGAATTGCGTGGAAAACTAACCCTATAGACGGAACCCCCATATATTCAATACAATAGCATTTTTCCGATGAAATTGATATGGAAATATTGCAGAATGAAGGATTTTATATCAATATCAATCACAACTTACCGCATTTTGTGATTTAAAATCTAAAAAACATCGCTTCAAAAAAAACCCGTCAAATGGCACGCGTAACTATCAATCGCCGCAAACTGGCTGCTGCCAGGATTTTTCTCCAATATTCAGCAGGAGGTAATCGATAGCCGATCAGATTTGTGATGACGTCATGAGGAGGGATATAAACTTAATTTAGAAAAAAAAATCAAATCGATAGCTTGACCAAAATTTGAGAAATTTCGTAAAATCTGAGAAATGTTCCGTTCTTGGGTAGTGTTCCGTATATGGGCAGTTCACCCTACATGGAATGACTGAAAAATGAAAAGGTGATTTTCGAAGCAGATAAAATGAGCCAAAATCGTATAATTCCTGATAGTGATGAAGAGTTAGGCAGTGAGGAGGATTTATTTACTGATGAGGAGTTGATTGGTGATGTGACATTTGAAGAAAATGGAAATGAAATATTTTCCAATGAAGCAACAGCAGGATCGCCAAAAACTCCTTCTTCGATCAAATACTGTAACTTAAGGGCTTTATTGAATTCTAATGATCAAAATAATGTCAAGGAAACACAGAGAAAAATTATTTTTGCTTTTCAGAGACATGTCACAGAATTCACCGAAACTTCACTGAAATTTGGTGATTGATTTCTAGAAATTAGTGATAAGTTATTGAGAATTCGGTAACGAAAATGAAATTTTTCAATCACACTTTTTCATGATTACTTTTTTAAATAAATGTGATCTTTTTTCTTCAGTGGGGGGGGTTCGCCTGAAAAGATCAGATATTCGGTGAAATTAGTTTATAGTTTTTTGTAGTGATAGAAAGGGATTAGATACTCATCAAGATCAGTTAAACAATAAAATGTCATTGCTCATTTCCGGTACAGGAGAAATTCAACCCCGGCAATGAGTGGTTAAGAAATTATCATGGCATCGATTTTTGATAACAATTTCGTAAAATCAATTCCCTACTCATTTTTCAATAGAATAGTAATATTCAAATAGTACAATCAACTGCTAACGATTGTAGATACGGATCTGATGTCGTTTTAGCTGTGGTTATCAATCAATTTACAGTTAATCAATCTACTTGGCCTTCCAAAATCGATTGAACGCTTAGTTGAATTCAGATCGAAAAAATTCGATTCCTACAATCAATTACAAACAAATAAAATACTACAATCACTTGTAGTTCAAAATCTGTCAACGGCCAGGTTTTTTTTATAATTCGTCAAAGTCGGGTGCCACCTTCACCCAGCTGTATATATTCCATATGTTGGCGAAAATATGCAAAACTTTTGATGAAAGTATTTAACGTGCACTTTGGAATAAGGGATGACGAGATAACATTAAACCTTTTTAAATGATCCATATCTCCTGAGCGAAGCGAGCGGGGGGCTCAGCCCCCGGGGTTAGCGAGTGAAGGGAGCAGGGGGCGAAGCCCCCTAGTTGAGAAATAAAAACGGCCGATTTTATCCCTTTCTGCCTTAAAGAAAATTGGAGAGTTATTGTTAATATAAAAACAGACAAAATTGAGAATTCAACCAACCCGAAATCAATCAACAAATGAAGAAACAAAAAATTTCCGGAGACAATTAATTTCAAGGAAAACAATCCAGGTATGCAAAGTGGCTAACGAGTGAAGATTGCAAAAACCTTTGGAGCCTGGTGAACTGCAGCCAATAGCCTATGTACAGTAACAAATATATATGCACACGTATGCAAAAGATAACGAGCATGACCTTCCATCCAATAATTATCCACGTGTGCGTGTGTCCGTGTGGTTTAAAAGTGAAATTTGCCAGGGACGTTGGCAAATGGGCTCACCGACTGATAACACTGACACTTCAGTGATGATGTCGACGGCGAATTCATCGCTTCAACTCAATAGCCGACCTTCACCCCAACGCCCGAGTGTTTATCACCGAACCTCACTGGTGCATGACTTTTTATTGTAATTTTTCCACCTATTCAACTTCTGCATGCATGATGGAACGATTCAGTACGTGACACGACATTGCTCCGCATGAGTTACAGTTTATCATCAGAAGATAACACGTTTCGACAGTAATTAAAGGACGAAAATTAGACATGCTAATTCTTGGAGACTAATTGAGCGATGCTAAATGCGAACCTAGCGTTATTGGAGCCAATTATTTTCTTTGTGGACGAGACTTGAAAAGGAATTATATCAAATGCACCGCCATGGTGACATTTTATTAGAATCCATGTGAACTATTACAAGCCTGTCTCTTATCACGGACACCAAAACTCCATACAGGTGGCTGGAGCGCAGCTTTATATATTGAGAAAAGCAGGCGTTTTTTTGAGGGATCGCCACAATTTTTCGATTGAACCAAAAAAATATGGTCCTTAGCTAGAAATGTACCTTACTTTATCTGACTGCGGTTGAGTTGGATCATAGGTCATTTCTCAGATGGAAAATGGGTAATGGGTAAATCATAATGAAACCTGTTAGTTGGTTTGACAGCCTAACTGTTATAGTCCAAACTAAATCTTCTTTTCCTTCAGAAACTTAATTTCAGGCCACATGTTGTCATGGTTTCCATTATCAAAATGTTGGTGTCTCAATAAAAACAACTGAAATATAATTTTTCAAAGGGAAAAGACATTTTAGTCTGCCAAATTAGCTCGCAAATTTGCATTATAATCCACATGATTTTTCAGTAGAGTGAAGATCTCTCATCTATTTCAACCGCAGCCGGATAGAGTAAGGTGCATTTCTAGCTAAGCATCACATTTTTTGGTTCACTCATAAAAGCCTGGGGATGTCTCAAAAAATCCCCACTTTTTTCAATATATATATAGCTCTGCTCGAGCCACGATAAGGGCCATTATATATTTCGGCCTATAAGTTTGAGCTTTATGCAATGCCGAGCGAAAAATATCACATACATATTTGATCAATTTATGGTAGGTTTCAGAGAAGAAATCGGTGCTCTTCGAGCTAAGGAGAAAGTTACTGAATGAAAAGATGATGTCTTTTTTCGAAATGAGATAATATTCCTTAAAAGACAAGAATAATTTGACAGAAGGAAAATGAGATATTGCTTCCCTTCGAACTCAAAGTGATTGAGCGTAAACGACGGTTATATTTTTTCAATATCTGGAGGATTTCCTCTGCATAAACTCCCTATTCACTCAATATGAAAGTCTCTGATTCATGATTCACTGAATCAAAACTTTTAATATTTTTAGTCATTTTCTCATCTTCTGACACGACCAAACCGAATTCTTGTGGCAAGAAATTCTCACTTTATCATGAAATGTTCATGCTCAAGTCATGAACATTCATCAATGAATACTTCACTGAAATCTGACATTGTCTGACACATTATCCAGAATTCTTATCCCAAGAAATTTATTCTCAAGAGATAAAATATTTGGCGCAAGAAATTCGTTTTGTGCTATTACGACGATATTTCTCTCAGTGTATGAGAAGAAATATTTTTCTACTTATTATGCATAAATTTTGAAACATAATTCATGCCTCCCACACTTAATTAGCATTTTGCTGTATTTTAGGTACTCGTTATAACCAACAGGAAGCAGAGGAAATGAGCGAAGCACGTGTGCCGATGTTTATGTGAGGCATCTTCATCCTTCGAGCATATGCGACAGTGCGTCATTGGTAAATATTATTTCCCGAGAGGGTAATTAGTCCAGTGCACAGCAATTACAATTCCGTTTATAATCTCAAAGGAAAACATTCTGCACCCAGCGAAATGGCTTATTTTTGTAAAAAAAAAAAATTCGCATCAAATGTATGGGTTTGTTCAAATGGCTCGGTTAAAAGCTTTTATTCGAATTTCAATTTGATTTTTATTTGCGTTTTTATTCGCATCAAATTAATAGTTTTCAAAAATAAACAAATTATTTTTTCATCTTAACAGAGGATTTATTGAAAATGAACGAATTATTCAGTTGCTATAATTACAACATTTTCATTAAAATAAATACTCCACTTTATTAATTTCCAGCAAAGATATTATTAAAATTAATAGCAAAATTTTAAATAAAGCGTTTTATTGGATACAGGAATTTCTTCAAAAATTCATTCGTTTGAACAATTATTTTTTTTCTTGGACATTGCAATTGGATATGGCAGTGATTAGTGGGGGGAATGATAATTAGTAATAATTATCATTATAGTGCAGGATGTGTGTAATAATGCTTGATAAGATCGAATGATAAGGGGGAATATGATACTTTCGAGAGAAATTTATGTTCCGGTCGATTTTTTTCTTTGGCAATCGTTTTTTTTTGCCTTAAAATATTAGTGTATGCATGTAATTACGCATTTTAATGAAACGTACAGGTGTTACCACGCGCCCAGTGTTGCGCCTGGGCGCCCTGGATTATCGCCGTCACCGACATCATCGGTTTCTCCTTCTTCATCATCTTGTGCAACCGGTTTTTTCCGCTCTTCTTAACTAAACCACTTCTTATTTCCGCAAAATTGTTTTCACTGGGTGTTTTTGATTCTCTATTACATTTGTACACTCATTTCACAATCCATATGGCACGAAAATACAACCCTCACAACTTCCGTGAGATTTTTGGATTAGGCGGGATTTCGGTTTAACTGGTGTCGACACTAATCTTTTTTTTTTGGGTAATTTTGGTTTAGGTTTTGGCTTCGTTCAGTCGAATCACTCGTCCAAGAGTCTTTGGCGTTGATACTCCGGTCTATAAAAGATTTTTATGGTTTAAGCTGGGGACTTTGAGGGACTAATGGTGAGGGAGGAAAGTGATTCTGTTCGATCTTTTGTATTTTGGTAAATTGTGGATTATCTTAATTCAGACTGAAATTAGGAGAAACTTTTTGCGGATTTTTTTGCTGGAAATTGCGTTCTCTGTGAAAAATGTCTCAAGATATAATAGTTGATAAGAATTAATTCGATTTTCCAAGTTTTTGTTCATATAAAAAGCCGATTTGTCCCGTTTTATAAAGTTAGTAAACATTTTTGTTGGGAAATTTCGTTTCTAGAAAAGTTTTTTGATAAAATGTCTGAAATCACTTATTTGAAACATGCGTGAACACTGTTCAGAATTTCTAGAACTTCTTGAATTTCGTACTTTTTGCTAAATGTTGAATGGACAAATGATTTTATGAAAATATAGTGAAGGACTATTTCGGTAGAAATGCAACTCTAAATTTCTTTTATCGTTAAAATTTAAAATCTCTGGTTTTTCGATTTTTTTTTACATGAAACGTGTATTTATGCCGTTTTCTCAAATTTAAAATCCAATTGTCTACGAAGAAAAATCTCCCAACGTTTCTTTTTAAAACTCTTCACTCTAAAGAACAAAAAGTGAAATTCCATTTATACAATTTGATGAGCGAAAGGATGAAGTCCTAAAAAATTTTACTTTCGAATATCATGTTTATTTTTGGGAATTTGCTAACCATGTACAAAAAAGTCAAATCCCAGGGATTTGAGATGTGTGAATGAACGCGCTGTTCCGACATATTTATCACAAGAAACACGACGAGATCGAGTGGTGAGAGCCGACTGTTTTTATACCGTATCTCATTTTTTAAATCTATTTGCTCTTGTGCGAAAGACAAACGTATATGGGTTTTCAGGGGTATCCGCGGGGGACTAGGAGTTTGCGGCGAGAATTTCAAGGCCAATGTCGGTGGCTCGTCTGGCCCTCAAGCGGGTGCATAGAGCGATATAGACGCGCCTGCGGAATCGATATGTGCCCCACGATTTCACTTCTGTTCTGCTCCGTTCTCTTATTTGGACTATATTCTGGGACAATATGATAAGGATAACATGTGAGAGTCATGGTCAATTTTTTTTTACCTCCAAAAATGAAAAAATTGAAAAAATTAAAGATGTTCTCGAAGACGAAAATAAAAATCCATGTCTTGAAACAGATTTTTCTATTAATACCATGATTCAGAATGAACTTGCAATTACATATTTCAAGGTAATCCTTATCACTAAAAATAAATGTCGACGGCCTGAATATTCGAGCGTCCGATACGACTAAAATTGCGTTATCTCGGCAATTCGTCGGCGAACATTACATTTGCAAACTCCGGCCTAACCGATGACTCAATTTAAACGTCTGCAAGTCCAAGGTTAAGATTATTTTCAACCATATCACTCGACAAAAGATGTTTTATTTACTTTTTTTTTCTTCGTTTTGTCAAGTGGTCAAGTTCAAGCATCTGTCGGACGGAATATTTCACTAATTTATTTTTAAATTAAGGATTTAAAGGGATAAATATAGACTTGTTTTGAATCGTGAATTACATCGTCGCGTCAACGATCTCGATTTTGCGAGGGGCGCAGGGTGATTTTGAGAGTGTGCATTGGCCTCGGTTATGTGCATCGCCGCATATACTGGCCGTAACTGCGCAAAAGTCCGCGAAACGTGTGCGATAAAATTTTGGCAACTGGGTTGGAGAGTCTGGGAGTTCGTTAAAGTTTTATCAATCACTTGGGAAAAATTTTTGGTGTTAATGACACGTATATTTCCACTGCACTAATAATTTCATTTATTAAAAAAAATGAATCATAAAAAAAACGAAAAATTGTCATGGGATAAAAAAGAAAAATTCCATATTGCATAACGGCTGTTAAAATATCACCCGTTTTTCGTTAAGAAAAAATTAAATTTTCAATAGTTTCTTTTTCATAAATGAAACGTTTCTTTTACAGAAAAATTTCAATTCCCAATGATCCTTTTTCACTATATTTCACGAATTTCAAACTTCATTCCTTTGCTAATGAGGATTTTTTGTTCTCTTTTCTTTTTTCCGAAAACAGATGAGAAATTGTTGATATTCACTATTTTTTTCATAAATTTTGAACTTCATTCTTCTGCTCATAAAATCTAAAAAAATGTTGTTTTTCGATTACGGAATCAACTTGTATCAATTAAAAGATAAACTTGGAAAAATGCATGTGATATTTGGAGTAAAATATTGATAATTAAATTATACCGGCGGAGGCACACGCAGCGGATCGAGCATTATAGTCGCGAACCGGCGAACGACTGAGAACACCAGTCCAGAACGGAGCCGTATGTGCGTGGTTGCTACTAGTGGTCTCTACCGCGCTGACTCCTCTGTGCAACTAACGATGGTCCTCGTCACTCAGTGCAAAAAAAAATTGAATCCAAAATTTACCAAACCTTCACTCTTACACGACTGTAATTCTCATTCAATGAAAAAAAAAATGAGAAATGAAAAAAAAGTGAGAAAATGTCAGATCTATAAAAAACCCAATAATTAATTTTTTCCAGGGATCAATTTCATTCAATTAAAATTTCACTCAGTGATTCAACGAATATATCCCACACGATCACCTCAAAAATAGTTAGAGACAGTTTAAAAAATTTTTCATAGTTTTTCAATCCCCTGATAACACTCACGTAAATGTCAAGGTGATGAGACAACCCGAGAAAGTTACCAACAAATCCGTGTAGAGATGAGTGAAAAGTGGGATAGAGCTTGGAAAGGGGTTCTTGGAGCTTGCGCGAGTCAAGTTCTAGTGCAACAATCAACTGGCATCCCCTCTCCAGTTGCTCCCCACCACCTAAGTTGACATGAAAGCGAGCCCGTGCTCCCTTGATGGCCTTGCTCGATCACTCGCTCAAGGTTAGCCGGAGATAACACGGAAAACGAGGTACTAAAGTTACAATATTTCTTCCTTTTTGTCCTGATTTTTGTCCGGATAACATCGGTGATCCATACTTGCACTAATCCAATTTTTCCTCAATTCTGGCATGGAATATCGGTCTAGGTGATTCATCATTTGCCGCCCTGGCGGCCATTTTATGAAACCACCATTTTGATTTCATTAAAATCAAAATGGTGGTTTCATGGGAAGTTAGCGTTGGATTCAAAATTAACAGAAATTGTGTGAAGAATTTCATATTATCTAGTCATTAGAGTTCACATACAACCACACAATTTAAATCGCCCTCCAAATCCGGAAGTGACCTCACATTCATAAAACTACTAATAAACCCATAATCACGGAATTATACCAGAAATATATCTGAATCATGAGTGCGTAAATTCAACAATATCAGACCCCTTAAAAACTAATTTAAAAAAAGTAGAGCGAGATATATTCCCTCCCCTCTCCCTCCTCTCGTACCCCAAGACGTGCGAGAAAGATGTAAATGTTTGTTTGGCGCGTGGTGCAGCGAAAAGACCAGAAAAGATAGCAACACGGAGACGCCTTCTCTTCGTTATACTATACCATGTGGCTGACCTTGACAGCCACCACCACTTATTTTTTACTCATTTTTATTCTCGCAACTCCTTCATCTCTAGTTCTTTTATCACTTTTGTTTTGTTCTATGTTATTTTCGAGGAAATAATACAAAACACTTAACATTCGGGGTTTTTGCTATTAACGTATGATTTTTCCGTACATTTCTTATTCCAAACGATGTGCTATTTTTTGTTCAGTAACATTAAAAAAATCAGGAATTGGTGATGAGGTTTTACAAGTCATATTAGATAGCCTCTAACCTAGCCTAATCTAGACTCTGCGTGCGCATATCCACACTTCACCAATAGAAATGAGAGTCACAGCACCACTCTGGGCCAATGAAGCATTACGAATGCGTTATAGTGACGTCAATATGGCATACCAGTTGAGGACAATTCGACATCTCCTAATAAAACAAGGGTATTTCAATTTTCTTATTAAAACAAGGGTATCTCAAAATTCGCGTTAAGACTAGGGTATCCCAAAATTCATGTGAAAAATCTTCTCAAATGTCATGTTTTCCTTCTCTTGACAGCTATACAAATGATACGGATCGAAAAGTACCAATAACATGAGGTAGTTCACATTGGAAGAGAAATAAAATGATTTGCGAACTCCATGACATTTAGAAATGGATGCGAACAACAAGTTTTCACATTTTGAGATACCCTTGTTTTAAAAATAACATTGAAATACTCTTGTTTTATTAGGAGACGTCGAGTAAGTGGCCCTCTTCAATTGACTTGAGGTTCTTTTCAGTCAACCCCTTTCGAATGATACACCATGATGGCTGACATATGTGCGGAAAAGGCCAGCGTAGGGCCTTGACTGACGTGCCTAAACCTCAATAAAAATTCCAACTTAAAAATGGCAAGCTTGAAGTGGCCTTTATCTCCCACCCAATTTAAGGCCCCATCATTAAAAATTGACGAATAACTGTCAACTAATTTTCAAAGAATTTCCAACAATATAGATGACGACTGGATGATCATCTGACCGTAGATGTATTCAAATATATCCTACACTGAGAAAAAAATTACAGTGTTATCAAACAAGTCTTACTTGTGCCAAGAAAATGTTTTTTTGGAAATGATCAAAAAAGGATTTTTTGTGGCAAACATGCAGAAACTGTGCCGAGATGAAAAATTGTCGTCACAGAAATAGATTTAATAGTTAATAAAAAAAATGAATTCTCTGTACACACATGAAATGCCATTTCCAGCATTACTCTTTTGTTATTCGATACTCCCATACGTATTTTGCTCCCCAAGAATGTTCGGTGTATGCGAAACAAGGGAGAGGAGTTCTTCGTTTCGGCTATCTAATAATCATAGACAAGGAATGAACGCTTAAATGAAACAGTAATAATGATATGATAGCAATCTTGTAACTTAGGGACAAAATATTTCTTGATAAATTTTCCTCTATATGAGATATTTTCATCCTGAAAAGGCACCGTCTCGTGTGAATTAGCCGCTTCTTGAGCCAAATATTTCGTTGTCGTCGAAAGCAGAGCAATTATTCAGTAGCGAAGTGGTCAAATGGTTTAAGTTAATGTAGTCTTTAGTTGAGTTTTCCAGAAATATTTCTGAATTTAAGTGAGATAGCGAAATTTCATAATAACTTTTTTTGTAGAGCGAAGTGAGCGCTACTAAAAAGTTTATGAGAAAAATCTCCCTTTCATTTCGAGATATTCATTGAAAACTGGCCAATAGCCAAAATCGACTTAAACGGTTTGACTACTTCGCTACTGTATTCATGTTTGAGACTTTCAAATTCGAACCAAACAACTTTTTTTTTGGCAATTTTCAACTAGAGATTTTGTTGGCCCAAATAAGACTTGTTTGAGTACGTGTTTGTTTTTCTCTCAGTGTGCTTTATACACACAGAAAACACTATGTGGAATTCCCGTAATCACTATACAGGTTTTACGGATAAGCTCGGCGAACTTGACCCTATGTGTAGAATGCGCACAAAGTGGGCAGACTCAATGCACGCTTTATGCGTATTTTACGCATAAATAATCGAACTTTACTCATAGGGTTAGGTTCGCGGAGTTTATGCGTAAAACCCGTCTAGTGATTGCGGAAAATTCGCATAGTGTTTTTCTGCGTATTCCATCATACATGTTGCACCAGATGAACAGTATATTTTTGTCTGTTGAGGCTCAAAGAGGGTTCGAAATATGTGACCCCCACGAAACCAGGCGTGACACTAAATTAAAGGTCTTTATGAGGCAGCCGGGACTGGCCAATATAGTTTGTCTCACTAGGCCTTTTCCACTTCAGATGACCATATTTTATATTTACTTCAATGAAAGT